GGGAGGGGGAGACCCAAATCCCAGCCCCTCACTCAAATCCAGGTCAAATCCAGGATTTTGAGGATCAGGAATCTTCCATCCTGATTTCCAGATCATCTGGGAGCAGGAATTCTTCATCCAGGGGGGAAAAAAACCTGGAATTATCCCAAATCTGACACAGAGGGGAGGGGGAGACCCAAATCCCAGCCCTCACTCAAATCCAGGTTAAATTCAGGATTTTGAGGATCAGGAATCTTGGAATTCCTCATTTCCAGCAAGATGTGGAAAAGGGAAGAAGTGGGAGCAGGAATTCCTCCCAGAAATCTCCATTATCAGGGGAGCTGGATAAGAGAGAAAACCCCTGGAATTATCCCAAATGCAACACAGAGGGAGGGGGAGACCCAAATCCCAGCCCCCCACTCAAATCCAGGATTTTGAGGATCAGGAATCTTGGAATTCCTCATTTCCAGCAGCATGTGGAAAAGGGAAGAAGTGGGAGCAGGAATTCCTCCCAGAAATCTCCATTATCAGGGGAGCTGGATATGAGAGAAAAGCACTGGGATAAATTTATAAATCCAGCTGGATTTCCCCAAAAAATCCCCTCCTGCCTCAGGACTGGGGTGTCCCTGTGTCCCACAAAGTGTCCCCAACAGCAGGAGGTGTTTGGATCTCCTCCTCTGGGGACAAATTCAGCAAATCAGGGTTTTCCTTCCCAAAAAAAGCTTTTTATGAGCTGGTTTCTGCCCTCACTCACCCCAAGCTCCTTCCTCCCTTTCCCAGCTCCAAGGATGAGTTGGGAATTCATTGGGAAAGGGGATTATTTGGGAATGGGGATTATTTGGGAATGGGGATTTATTGGGAAAGGGGATTCAATGAGAAAGGGAATTCTTTGGGAAAGGGAATTCACTGGGAATGGGGATTTATTGAGAAAGGGAATTGATTGGCAATGGAATTATTTGGGAAAGGGAATTAATTCCTTGAGAAAGGCAATTCAATGAGAAAGGGAATTCATTAATTGAGAAAGGGAATTCATAGGGAATGGGAATTTATTCATTGGGAAAGGGAATTCTTTGAGAAGGGAATTCATTAATTGAGAAAGGGAATTCATTAATTGAGAAAGGGAATTCTTTGGGAAAGGGAAATTATTGAGAAAGGGAATTCATTCATTGAGAAAGGGAATTCTTTGAGAAAGGCCTTTATTGGACGGAAGAGCAAAGAAAATCAGGAATTAAATCCCCGTGGCCGTGGAGCCACCGAGCCCAAGGGGTTTGGGAACTTTTCCCCCCCTGACACGAGGGATGGGGTCACAATGTCCCCCCCAGGGCTGCCTGTGGATACCACGAGGAAAAATCCCAGGATTCAGACCTGGAAAAATCACAGGAAATGGAAAAAAACAAAAAAAAACCCAAACCAAACTCTCAAAACAATGAGGAAAAATCAAGAGTTTCCTTAAGTTATGGGGAGGGTGGGGGTTGCCAAGGGAATGGTCCATAATTCCATAATTCCTGCCTGGAATGACTCGTGGGGGGCACGGGGAGCTTTGGACACGCCTGGGGCCACGTGGAAAAGGGTCAGAAAAAAACCCCAAAAATTGTCCAGGATGAGACCAAAACCCTGCTCAGAGCATTCCTGGGCTCCTGAGGCTTCCAGAACCTTCCTCCTTCCACCTGCCATGATTTCACAGACCCCCGAGGATCCCATCCCAAACTGGGGCAATAAAATCTCTCGTGGCTCCAACTCCAACCTCCTGGAGTGCAGGAAGATCCCAAAAATCCCCTTTTTCGATCCCAACCTTTTTCCAGAGAAGGCTACGAGGGATGCAACCCCTCTTCGGATCGGGCCCCTACTGGAAACAAAAAAAAAAAAAAAAAAAAAAACCTTTTCTGATACAAAAAAAATGAACCCAAAACACTCCCAAAAACCTTCCCAACTTAGGGCTAACGAGGCAATTCCGTGGAGCAGAAGGAAAAATTCCTGGGAGGAGAGCGCTCGGTGCTGCGATCCCACAGGGTGGGGCCCCCTAATTCCTGCTACTGGGGGGGGTCTGGTGGAATTCTCAACGCACCCCTCGAGCTGGGACGGCCCTGGAACCTTCTGGAACGCTGCAGAACCTTTGCCAGGAGGGTCAGAATGTCCATCTCTCCTGCACTGGGCTGTCGGAGGCGCCGGCGCTTGGGATTTGCCTGCTGGAATCTTCGCCCTTGAGGCTCTTCCTGCACACCGGACACGTGTCGTGCTGGGGGGGAGAAAATTTGAATTTAATATTTTAAAATGCAGCAATATTTGTAAGGCAAAATAGAAGTTTTAGGACACTTAATTTAGTTTATTTTTAGGAGGTTTTTCACTTTCTTCTTCATGAGTTTGAGGAGTATTATATAATTGTATAATTATCTAATTCCCCCTTGAGGCTCTTCCTGCACACCGGACACGTGTCGTGCTGTGGGGAACACAGAGGGTTTTACCCTAAATGCTGAAAAATTCAAACTTTCTGTGCTGAAAACCACAAGAAAATGTTATATTTGACCTGAAAATGTGGAAAAAATGCCAATTTTTTTGATAACACTGAAGATCACCAGTGCGGGTTTGAATAGAAGTCACAGGGTAGAAAAATTTGAGTTTAAGGTTTTAAAATGCAGCAATATTTGTAAGGCAAAATAGAAGTTTTAGGACACTTAATTTAGTTTATTTTTAGGAGGTTTTTCACTTTCTTCTTCATGAGTTTTAGTATTATATAATTATTTAATTCCCCCTTGAGGCTCTTCCTGCACACCGGACACGTGTCGTGCTGGGGGGAAAAATTTGAATTTAATATTTTAAAATGCAGCAATATTTGTAAGGCAAAATAGAAGTTTTAGGACACTTAATTTAGTTTATTTTTAGGAGGTTTTTCACTTTCTTCTTCATGAGTTTTAGTATTATATAATTATTTAATTCCCCCTTGAGGCTCTTCCTGCACACCGGACGCGTGTCGTGCTGGGGGGGGGGGGAAAAATCTGAATTTAAGGTTTTAAAATGCAGCAATTTTATAAGGCAAAATAGAAATTGTAGGACAGCTAGTTGAGTTTAGTTTTTGGAAGTTTTTCACTTTCTTCTTCATGATTTTGAGCAGTATTATATAATTGTATAATTATCTGATTCCCCTTTGGGGCTCTTCCTGCACACCGGACACGTGTCGTGCTGGGGGGAAAAATTTGAATTTAATATTTTAAAATGCAGCAATATTTATAAGGCAAAATAGAAGTTTTGGGACACTTAATTTAGTTTATTTTTAGGAAGTTTTTCACCTTCTTCTTCATGAGTTTGATAGCACTAAATAATTATATAATTATATAATTTCCTCTTGAGGCTCTTCCTGCACACCGGACACGTGTCGTGCTGGGGGGGAGAAAATTTGAATTTAATATTTTAAAATGCAGCAATATTTGTAAGGCAAAATAGAAGTTTTAGGACACTTAGTTTATTTTTAGGAGGTTTTTCACTTTCTTCTTCATGAGTTTTAGTATTATATAATTATTTAATTCCCCCTTGAGGCTCTTCCTGCACACCGGACGCGTGTCGTGCTGTGGGGAACACAGAGGGTTTTACCCTAAATGCTGAGAATTTCAAATCTCCTAAATGCTGAGAAATTCAAACTTTCTGTGCTGAAAAAATTCCAAAAACGTGTGGAAAAAATTCCACATTTTTTTGGTAACAGTGGGATCATCAATGTTTGGTTTGAATTGAAGACACAGGGCAGAAAATTTTGAATTTAAGGTAGGCAAAATAGAAATTGTAGGACAGTTAGTTGAGTTTAATTTTAGGAATTTTTTCACTTTCTTCTTCATGAGTTTGTGTAGAATTATATAATTATATAATTATTTAATTCTCCCTTTAGGCTCTTCCTGCACACCGGACATGTGTCGTGCTGTGGGGAACACAGAGGGTTTGTCCTAAATGCTGAGAATTTCAAACTTTCTGTGCTGAAAATATTCCAAAAATGAAAGCCACAAGAAAATGTTATATTTGACCTGAAAGTGTGGAAAAAATTCCAAAATTTTTTGATATTCCAAAATTGTTTTCGCCAGTGTGTGGTTTGAATAGAGGTGTAGAACATCACAGGGCAGAAAAATTTGAGTTTAAGGTTTTAGAATGCAGCAATATTTATAAGGCTAAACAGAAATTGTAAGACAGTTAGTTGAGTTTAGTTTTAGGAAGTTTTTCACTTTCTTCTTCATGAGTTCGAGCAGTTAGAAATAATCATTAGTAAGAAATAATATAAAAAGTCGAAGGTTTGAGGTTTTAGAATGCAGTAATATTTATAAGGCAAAATAGAATTTTTACGATAGTTAGTTTAGTTTAGTTGAGTTTAGCTTTAGGAAGCTTTTCACCTTCTTCTTCATAAGTTTGAGTAGTTAGACATAACAATTAGTGAGAAATAATTAGTTAGAAAAGTCCGCATTGCAGGATTGGGGTGATTCGTTATTAGGTTAAAAAAAAAAAAAAATTTAAATGTCAATTCTTAATTGGGCAGTTTATCCTTAAAAGACCTTAGAGAGAAAATTCGGGTTTGGTTTATTTTGTAGCTACTGCAGAACTCAACATACAATATACGCGATATACTGAATATATGTAGTATACTGAATATATGCAATAGAGATAAGAATAATATTTGAATCCAAACTTAAAATTCCATCTCTAAACTTTGTAACAAAAAAAAGATAGAACCATGATGAAAGTGGGTTTTTTGGGACTTACCAGCTCGAGCCAGGGCACGATGCAGCTGCTGTGGAAGACGTGGTTGCAGGGGAGCTGCCGCACCTGCTCGGCCACGGTGTAATCCTCCTTGCACACCGGGCACTCCAGCCCCGTGTCTGCGGCAGGGAACGGGGGCAGCAGTGAGGGAGGGCAGGGGGCACAGGGAGCCCAGGGGGAATGGAGGGTGGGGGTAACGGGGGGTTGGGTGGGGTGGAGATGGAGCAGGGAGCGAGGAATTCCTGCGGGGAATCAGGGAATTCATGCCAGGATCATCCATCAATCCATCTGTCTGTCTGTCTGTCCATCCATCCATCCATCATCCACCCATCATCCATCATCCATCCATCATCCATCCATCCATGGATTCCATCCATCCATCCATCCATCATCCATCCATCATCCATCATCCATCCATCCATCCATCATCCATCCATCCATCCATCCATCCATCATCCATCCATCCATCCATCCATCCATCATCCATCCATCCATCATCCATCCATCCATCCATCCATCCATCCATCCATCATCCATCCATCCCTCCATCATCCATCATCCATCCATCCATCCATCATCCATCCATCCATCCATCCATCATCCATCCATCATCCATCCATCCATCCATCATCCATCCATCCATGGATTCCATCCATCATCCATCATCCATCCATCATCCATCCATCCATCCATCATCCATCCATCCATCCATCCATCCATGGATTCCATCCATCCATCCATCCATCCATCATCCATCCATCAATCATCCATCCATCCATCCATCCATCCATCCATCCCTCCATCCATCCATCATCCATCCATCCATCCACCATCCATCCATCCATCCATCCATCAATCCATCCATCCATCCATCATCCATCCATCCATCCATCATCCATCCATGGATTCCATCCATCCATCATCCATCCATCCATCCATCCATCCATCATCCATCATCCATCCATCCATCCATCCATCCATCCATCATCCATCCATCCATCCATCCATCATCCATCCATCCATCATCCATCCATCATCCATCCATCCATCCATCATCCATCCATCCATGGATTCCATCCATCCATCCATCCATCCATCATCCATCCATCAATCATCCATCCATCCATCCATCCATCCATCCATCCATCCCTCCATCCATCCATCATCCATCCATCCATCCACCATCCATCCATCCATCCATCCATCATCCATCCATCCATCCATCATCCATCCATGGATTCCATCCATCATCCATCCATCCATCCATCCATCATCCATCCATCCATCATCCATCCATCCATCCATCCATCATCCATCCATCCATCCATCCATCATCCATCCATCCATCATCCATCCATCCATCCATCCATCATCCATCCATCCATCCATCCATCCATCCATCCATCATCCATCCATCCATCCATCATCCATCCATCATCCATCCATCCATCATCCTTCCATCATCCATCATCCATCCATCCATCCATCATCCATCCATCCATCCATCATCCATCCATCATCCATCCATCCATCATCCATCCATCCATCATCCATCCATCCATCCATCCATCCATCATCCATCCATCATCCATCCATCCATCATCCATCCATCATCCATCCATCATCCATCATCCATCCATCCATCATCCATCCATCCATCATCCATCCATCCATCCATCCATCATCCATCCATCATCCATCCATCCATCATCCATCCATCATCCATCCATCCCTCCATCCATCCATTCATCCATCCATCCATCATCCATCCATCATCCATCATCCATCCATCCATCCATCCATCATCCATCCATCCATCATCCATCCATCATCCATCATCCATCCATCCATCCATCCATCCATCATCCATCCATCATCCATCATCCATCCATCCATCCATCCATCATCCATCCATCCATCATCCATCCATCCATCCATCATCCATCCATCCATCCATCCATCCATCCATCATCCATCCATCATCCATCCATCATCCATCATCCATCCATCCATCATCCATCCATCCATCATCCATCCATCCATCCATCCATCCATCCATCCATCATCCATCCATCCACCATCCATCCATCCATCCATCCATCCATCATCCATCCATCCATCCATCCATCATCCATCCATCATCCATCCATCATCCATCATCCATCCATCCATCCATCCATCCATCATCCATCCATCATCCATCCATCATCCATCATCCATCCATCCATCATCCATCATCCATCCATCCATCATCCATCCATCCATCCATCCATCATCCATCCATCATCCATCCATCCATCCATCCATCCATCATCCATCCATCCATCCATCATCCATCCATCATCCATCCATCATCCATCCATCATCCATCCATCCATCCATCCCTCCATCCATCCATTCATCCATCCATCATCCATCCATCATCCATCATCCATCCATCCATCCATCCATCCATCCATCCATCCATCCATCCATCATCCATCCATCCATCCATCATCCATCCATCATCCATCCATCCATCCATCATCCATCCATCCATCATCCATCCATCCATCCATCCATCATCCATCCATCATCCATCCATCCATCCATCATCCATCCATCCATCCATCCATCCATCCATCCATCCATCCACAAAATCCCCTGGGGCTGGACAATCCAGAGAACAAGGAATTCCTGAGCTCCTTTGCTGATCCCAGGGATTTTTGGACATTCCAAAATTTCACAATTTCTGCCCAGCTCTGTGGGCTCAGCCACGTGGAATTCCAGAAAAGAGGATGAGAGAAGGGTGTGGAAAACCACAGGATAAAAATATCCCGGGTAGAAATGTCTGCTTTAACCATAATGGAGGAGTTGGGTTCTGGGGGGGATCCTTGGGGTGAAAAATTCCTGGGATTTTTTATTGCAAATCCAGGATTTTGCTGAGATATCCTTCAGGTCGCTGCTGGGGTGAAAAATTTATGGAATTTTAATTGCAAAAAAAGGATTGTGCTGAGATATCCTTCAGGTCCCTGCTGGGGTGAAAAATTTATGGAATTTTAATTGCAAAAAAAGGATTGTGCTGAGATATCCCCCAGGCCCCTGCTGGGGTGAAGAATTCATGGGATTTTTTATTGCAAATCCAGGATTGTGCTGAGATATCCCCCAGGTCCTGATGGGGTGAAAAAATAATGGGATTTTTTTATTGCAAAAAAATGATCGTGCTGAGATATCCTTCAGGTCCCTGCTGGGGTGAAAAATTTATGGAATTTTAATTTCAAAAAAATGAATGTGCTGAGATATCCCCCAGGTCCCTGCTGGCAGATTTCCATGGCATGCCCAGAGCAGAGTGTGTGGAGTTTGAAAGGGAAGAAGGGATTGAGAGCACAAACAGGGATTTGGGATGGGAAAATCATTATAAGAAGGGAAAACAATCATGGGGAGGGGAAAACAATCATGGGGAAGGGAAAAAAACCATCATGGGGATGGAGAAATCATCGTGGGGAGGGGGAAATCATCATGGGGAAGAGAAAAAAACATCATGGGGATGGAGAAATCATCATGGGGAGGGGAAAAAAAAACCATCATGGGGCAGGAAAAATCATTGTGGGGAGGGGAAAATCATTGTGGGATAGGAAAACCATCATGGGGAGGGGAAAAAACCATCATGGGGAGGGGAAAATCATTATGAGAGTGGAAAATCATCATGGGGAGGGAACAAAAATCATCATGGGGATGGGAAAATCATTATGGGAGGGGAAAACAATCATGGGGAGGGGACAAAAATCATCATGGGGAGGGGGAAATCATCATGGGGAGGGGAAAAATCATTATGAGAGGGGAAAATCATAATGGGGAGGGGACAAAAATCATCATGGGGAGGGGGAAATCATTGTGGGGAAGGGAAAACAATCATGGGGAGGGAGAAAAAAACATCATAGGGAGAGGGAAATCATGATGGGAGGGGGAAATTATCATGGAGATGGGAAAAAAACCATCATGGGGAGGGGGTAATAATCATTGGGAGGGGAAAATCGTCATGAGAGGAGAAAACAATCATGGGGAGGGGGAAAAACCCCATTACAGGATAGGAAAGCCATCATGGGGAGGGGAAAATCATCATGGGGAGGGGACAAAAACCATCCTGGGGATGGGAAGAGTCAGCATGGCACATTTTTAGGACTCCCCACACACTCTGGAGAATGCTGGAGCTCCAACATTCCTGGGAGAACCGAAGCCCAGAGCCGGCAGCAGCAAAGCTGGGGAGCTGAGAGCCTCCAGCCCAGTTCCAGGGGTACCAAATGGAAATTGGGGGGAGCTCAGGATGTCCAAGAGCAGCACCCACGTGCCCCTGGATGGGGGATGGAGGCACCCACCGACTTGTTCCTGCGTCACCGGCACCGTTGGGAGCGACGAGATCTTCTCCTTGTCTGCTGGGGGGGGTCCTGTGTTCTCCAGCTGGCCCAGGAGCTGTGCAGGGGGAGAAACCCATGCTCAGGAGCAGGGATGGGCCCCTGGAGCTGCTGTGGTGAGGCCCATTATTCCCATTAAAAGGGATGGGTTAATTCCCATTAAAAGGAATGGGTTAATTCCCATTAAAAGGAATGGGTTAATTCCCATTAAAAGGGATGGGTTAATTCCCATTAAAAGGAATGGATTAATTCCCATTAAAAGGAATAGGTTAATTCCCATTAAAAGGAATGGGTTAATTCCCATTAATTCCCATTAAAAGGAATGGGTTAATTCCCATTAAAAGGAATAGGTTAATTCCCATTAAAAGGAATGGGTTAATTCCCATTAATTCCCATTAAAAGGAATGGGTTAATTCCCATTAAAAGGGATGGGTTAATTCCCATTAAAAGGGATGGGCTAATTCCCATTAATTCCCATTAAAAGGGATGGGTTAATTCCCATTAAAAGGGATGGGTTAATTCCCATTAAAAGGAATGGGTTAATTCCCATTAATTCCCATTAAAAGGAATGGGTTAATTCCCATTAAAAGGGATGGGTTATTCCCATTAAAAGGAATGGGTTAATTCCCATTAAAAGGAATGGGTTAATTCCCATTAAAAGGAATGGGTTAATTCCCATTAAAAGGGATGGGTTAATTCCCATTAAAAGGAATGGGTTAATTCCCATTAATTCCCATTAAAAGGGATGGGTTAATTCCCATTAAAAGGGATGGGTTAATTCCCATTAATTCCCATTAAAAGGAATGGGTTAATTCCCATGAAAAGGGATGGGTTAATTCCCATTAAAAGGGATGGGTTATTCCCATTATTCCCATTAAAAGGAATGGGTTAAATTCCCATTATTCCCATTAAAAGGGATGGGTTAATTCCCATTAAAAGGGATGGGTTATTCCCATTATTCCCATTAAAAGGGATGTGTTAATTCCCATTAAAAGGAATGGGTTAATTCCCATGAAAAGGGATGGGTTAATTCCCATTAAAAGGGATGGGTTATTCCCATTATTCCCATTAAAAGGGATGGGTTATTCCCATTATTCCCATTAACAGGCACGGGATAATTCCCACTAAAAGCGTCCAGTTGAGTTTATAATTTTTATTTTTTTTATTATTATTCCCATTCAAACCTGCATCTGACTCTGTTTTCTTCATTATTTTGTGATTTTATATTACATTAAAGAATGCTATACTTTATTATTCTAAAGAATAATAAAGTAGCAGACAGAAGGCTACAAAGAATGATAATGAAAACTCCTGACTCTCTCTTCATTGGTCATTAAATAAAAATAATTTACATGAAACCAACCAAACAATGGATAAACAATTTCCAACCACATTCCAAGCAGCAAAACACAGGAGAAACAATCAGATAATATTGTTTTCATTTTTCTAAGGCTTCTCAGCTTCAATGCTGGGCACAGAAAGTGATTTTTGCAGGGAATGTGGCAGTGGCACTGACCTGGGTGACGATGGCGTCGAGGCCGCTCTGTCCCCACGCGTAATCGCCGGGGCTGGAGTGCAGCATCCCGCTCCTGCCAACGGGAGAGGCCAGAATTGCCCAGAATCCCCAAATTCCCAAATTCCCAAGGCTGGCTGGGATTCTCTGCTGGGATCTGGGAGGTTACTCACCAGGAGAAGGGGTGCTGCGAGCCAGGAACGGCTGAGTTGGCGAAAAAGCCGGCAAAGATCTGCTGGATTATCCTGGGAAAGGAGGGAAGGGTGAGTTCAGTGAGGGAATAAATGGTGGGAGGGAAAAAAAGGGCAGGAAAAGCAGGAATTGCTGCTCATGGCTGTGAAAATCCCTGGAGAAAGCTCCAAAATAGACACAGACAGCAGGTGTGGGACAAAAGCCTTGGTCTCTCTACATTTGGTGGCTATAGCCACTTTCTCTTTCCTATTCTTTTCCTTTCCCCCCAATTCCTTTAACACATTTGCTGTGGTCAATCAATAAAGGCGCATTTGTTTTGATTGATAATGCAATCCCCTTTCCATGTTGGGACACCCAGCAGAGCTCACTCACCCCTTTCCATGTTGGTTTTTCACACTCCAGATCAGTTATTGAACCATCACCACTCTCATTCTTGATGGTGACACCCAGCACAGCTCACTCACCCCATTCCATGCTGGTTTTTTCCACTCTAGATCAGAGTTTGTAGAGCAGATCCTGACACCCAGCAGAGCTCGCTCACCCATTCCATGCTGGTTTTCACACCCCACATCAGTTACTGAACCAGTTTTTGATGGTGCCCCCCAGCAGATCTCACTCACCCATTCCATGCTGGTTTTTCACACTCCAGATCAGTTATTGAACCATCACCACTCCTGGTTTTGATGGTGCCACCCAGCAGAGCTCACTTGCCCATTCCATGCTGGTTTTTCACACTCTAGATCAGAGCTCACACACCCCTTTCCATGCTGGTTTTTCACACTCTAGATCAGAGCTCACTCACCCCTTTCCATGCTGATTTTTCACACTCTAGATCAGAGCTCACACACCCCTTTCCATGCTGGTTTTTCACACTCTAGATCAGAGCTCACACACCCCTTTCCATGCTGCTTTTTCACACTCTAGATCAGAGCTCACTCACCCATCCCATGCTGTTTATTTCACACTCCAGATCAGAGTTTTTCACACCCCACATCAGTTACTGACCCAGTTTCTGACGGTGCCCCCCACAGATCCCACTCACCCATCCCACGCTGTTTTATTTCCACTCTGTATCAGAGTTTTCCACACCCCACATCAGTCCCTGACCCAGCTCCTGACGGTGCCCCCCAGCAGAGCCCACTCACCCCTTTCCATGCTGGTTTTTCACACTCTAGATCAGAGCTCACTCACCCCTTTCCATGCTGGTTTTTCACACTCTAGATCAGAGCTCACTCACCCATCCCATGCTGCTTTTTCACACTCTAGATCAGAGCTCACTCACCCCTTTCCATGCTGGTTTTTTACGCTCCAGATCAGTTATTGAACCATCACCCCTCCTGTTTTTGATGGTGCCCCCCAGCAGATCCCACTCACCCATCCCATGCTGTTTTCCACACCCCACATCAGTCCCTGACCCAGTTCCTGACGGTGCCCCCACAGACCCCACTCACCCCTCGATGGCCGGCGAGCGCTCCGGCCGGGAGCTGCCCCGTGCCCGGTACCTGCGGGGCATGGGCAGCCGTGGGGGGCGGCTGGGACCCCAAAGCTCTCCCGGGGGACCCCTGTCCACGTCCCTGGGCTCTGCATCCAGCGAGCTGCTGCTCAGCAAGGGCCGGAAATCCGGGAAGAACATGGTGTGGTCCAGGTGGTCCCAGAGCTGTGGAGAGCGCGGGGTTAGGCTGGGGGGGTGTGGGTGGCATTGAGCTGGCAGAGGGGGGCAGGGAGTGGGGTAATTGTGGTAATTAGCAATGAGATCCAGGTGTCTGCTGGTAATTGTGATCATTAACACTGAAATCCAGGTGTCTGAGGTTAATTGTGATAATTAACACTGAAATCCAAGTGGGGCACGTATCTGCTGTTAATTGTGATAATTAACATTGAGATCCAGGGATCTGCTCTTAATTGTGATAATTAACATTGAGATCCAGGTATCTGCTGGTAATTGTGGTAATTAGCAATGCAATCCAGGTGTCTGCTGGTAATTGTGATGATTAAAACTGAGATCCAGGTGTCTGAGGTTTATTGTGGTAATTAGCAATGAGATCCAGGTGTCTGCTGGTAATTGTGAAAATTAACACTGAAATCCAGGTATCTGCTCTTAATTGTGATAATTAGCAATGAAATCCAGGTGTCTGCTGGTAATTGTGAAAATTAACACTGAAATCCAGGTATCTGCTCTTAATTGTGATAATTAACACTGAAATCCAGGTGTCTGCTGGTAATTGTGATAACTAACATTGAGATCCAGGGATCTGCTGTTAATTGTGATAATTAGCAATGAAATCCAGGTGTCTGCTGGTAATTGTGATAACTAGCAATGAGATCCAGGTGTCTGCTGTTAATTGTGATAATTAGCACTGAAATCCAGGTGTCTGCTGGTAATTGTGATAATTAGCAATGACATCCAGGTGTCTGCTGGTAATTGTGATAATTAGCAATGAGATCCAGGTGTCTGCTGTTAATTGTGGTAATTAACACTGAGATACAAGTGTCTGCTGGTAATTGTGGCAATTAACACTGAAATCCAGGTGTCTGCTGGTAATTGTGATAATTAACACTGAAATCCAGGTGTCTGCTGGTAATTGTGATAATTAACACTGAGATCCAGGGATCTGCTGTTAATTGTGAAAATTAACACTGAAATCCAGGTGGGGCAGGTATCTGCTGCTAATTGTTGAAATCAATACTGCTAAAATCATGTGGGGGAATTATCTGCTGTTAATTGTGATAATTAACACTGAAATCCAGGTATCTGAGGTTAATTGTGAAAATTAACACTGTTAAATCAGGTGGGGCACTTATCAGCTGTTAATTGTTAAAAGATACAATGCTAAAATCAGGTGGAGCAGGTATCTGCTGTTAATTGTGAAAATTAACACTGCTAAAACCAGCTGTTAATTGTTAAACAGTCATCTGCTGTTAATTGTGAAAATTAACACTGCTAAAACCAGGTGGAACAGCCATCAGCTGTTAATTGTCAAAATTAACACAGTGAAAACCAGATGGGGCTCGTTAACACTGAATTAACACTTATCAGCTGTTAATTGGGCAGTTTATTTATCTCTTGTACAATTAATATTTCAGGGGAGATATCTTCTGTTAATTGAGAGTCCCTGTAGAAAAATAAAATTCCAGAATCCCATTGGGTGACGCTCTGCCCAGGGGGAGGAGCCAAGAATTCCTACCTGGATACAATCTGAGGGTTTGGGATTCCCAAACTTTTCCCACTGGATTTCCACAGTATCAGCCTTTTCCCACTGGATTCCCACTGGGAATTTATTTTTAAAGAATTTATTCCCAAACCTTTACCTGAGAACTCCTTAATTTCAAAATTGTAATAACAGACAAGGGGAAAATTGGACAAATGATCCCACTGAGCTCCTAATCCCATAAAATCTGGAAGTTGTGGGGTTGGTCTTTCCTTCTCTGCAAGGGCTGGAATTTGGGAAGAAAATCAGGAATTTCTGGGATATCAGGATCCCCTAAAATTCAGGATTTTCTGGGATATCAGAATCTCCTGAAATTCAGGAATTTCTGATAAATCAGGATCTCCCTGAAACTCAGGAATTTCTGGGATTATCAGGATGTATCTCCCTGAAACTCAGGAATTTCTGGGACATCAGGATCTCTCTGAAATTCAGGAATTTCTGGGATACCAGGATGGATCTCCCTGAAACTCAGGAATTCCTGGGATCCAAACTGATATCCAAGCAATATTTTGGATAAATGGATCCAGATGAAGAAGGGGAAGAAAAGATCCAGACTGGAATTCTGCCTATTTGGTGACCCCATTTCTGGCTCAGGATTGAGTGGATTTCCTCCAAATTTGGAGTTTAAAATGGAAATATTCTGGAAAATCTGGGAGCAAGGAGAGACCTCCTCACCTGGTTGAGCATCTCCCAAAAATCCCAGGATTTTCCCTCAATCCTCCTTCTCCTCTCATGCCCAAAATGCCAATTTTTAGTCTTCTAAAATTCCCCAAAATCCTGGAAATTCTCAGGAAAAAAGGAGGAAAACTCACCTCTGAGAACTGAGAGGAGGGGCTGTCATCCAGGGAATTGCTGTCAAAAAAACTGGGAAAAAGAAAAAAGTGAGGGCAGGGTTTAATTCCTAAAATCCCCCCTGAGATTCCCAAATCCCCTCCTGTGTTTGATGAAATATCCCCAAAAGGGGCAAAAAAAAAAGAGAAAAATAAGTATAAAAAAATTTTTAAAATGGTTTTTATTTTCAAAATATTAAAGAATTTTAAAATATTAAAAAGGTAAGAAAGAAAATCAAAAAGGGAAAAAAAAAGTACCAAAAAAAGGGAAAAATAAAGAAACAGTAAAAAGGTGTTTCGGTTTTTTTAGCTAATTATGAAAAAGGGTAAGAAAAAATCAATAAAGGAAAAAGAAAGAGGTAAACAGAAAAAATAGTAAAAGGGATTTGTTCTCCTAAATTTGAAAAAGAGTAAGAAAAAATCAAAACGGGAAAAAAGACCAAAAAAGGCTACAAAAAACCCACAAAAAATAATGAAAAGGGGTTTTTTTCCTAAATACTAAAAAGGTAAGAAAAAATCAAAAAAGGAGGGGGGGGGGAAGACCAAAAAAGGTTACAAAAAAACCCACAAAAAATGATGAAAATGGATTTTTTTTCCTCCTAAATACTAAAAATATTAATAATTTTATTTTCTTTAGGGGAAAAAAAAGCTTTTTTCTTCCTAAATACTAAAAAGGGTAAGAAAAAAATCAAACAGGGTAAAAATATCAAGAAGAGAAAAAAAAGATTTTTTTGGGATTTTTGAGGGTTTTTTTGTAAAAGAAAAAAGGGGAAAATACATTTAAAAAAAAGAGTAAAAATGGCATTTTTTACATGGAGTCTCCTTGTTATAAATTGAATTTCTCTGGATTTTTGGTACCTGGAATCATCAGTGACTTCCTCGATGAAGCCGGACTCACAGCGAGGGCAGGTGTATTCCTGGGAGGGCAAAAAGAGGGAAAATTAAACATAAAATATTTCAAATTCTAAAGAAAAATCTTCCCCTTCAGGAAGATTCCTGATTCTGGATCCCAAGCAGCTCAAAACCACAGAAAATCTGAAAAAAAATCGGAAAAAAGTCAGAAAAAAATTGGAAAAAATTTTCCCTGTTCTTATTCTCAGATTTTTATCCCAGACTGAACAAAAAACCCCCCAAAAAAAAGGATTCTCATGGATCTTCCTTCTCCACATGCCAGGAACTGGGAGAATCCCAGATTTTTTATTGGAATATTCCAAATTTTCAGCGTGGATTTTATGGGAATTCCTCCCAAATCCAAATCTGAGTTTTAAATCAGATTTTTTTTTTTTGGGTTGGATCAAATTTTACCATCAGCACCAGCAGCAGGTGGGATGCTGCTGCATCCCTGGGAGCTTTGGAATATTTTTATTTTTGGAATCTTTTTATTTCTGGACTATTTTTGCTCTTGGAGTCCATCTGGAAAGTATCAGCTTGCCACCCAGGAGCTGGAGAGAGATAAAAATGGAATTTGGGAGAAATAACTGTGCAGGGAGGGAAAGGGGACAGATGGTGGGTGGGATCCTGCAGATTGCCCGGATTTTCCCTGGGATATTTCCGGGGATTATTTCCTAAAACTGGGATAATTTCATGGATATTCCCTGGGATAATTCCCTGGATTTTCTATGGGATAATTCTCTGGATTTTCCTTGGGATATTCCCAGGAACTGGGGTGATTCTCTGGATTTTCCCTGGGATATTTCCAGGGATCATTCCCAGAAACTGGGATAATTCTCTGCATTTTCCTCGGGATAATTCCCTGGATTTTCCTTGGGATATTTCCTGGGATTATTCCCAGGAACTGGGATCGTTTCCTGCATTTTCCTCGGGATAATTCCCTGGATTTTCCTTGGGATATTTCCTGGGATTATTCCCAGGAACTGGGATCGTTTCCTGCATTTTTCATGGGATAATTCCCTGGATTTTCCCTGGGATATTTCCTAGAACTGGGATAATTTCCTGGATTTTCTGTGAGATATTTCCAGGGATCATTGCCAGAACCTGGGATAATTCTTTGCATTTACTTTGGGATAATTCCCTGGATTTTCCCTGGGATAATTTCCTGCATTTTCCTTGGGATTATTCCCAGGGACTGGGATAATTCCCTGCATCTTCCCTGGGATAATTCTCAGGAATTTTCCTGGGATATTTTCAGGGATTATTCCCAGGGACTGGGATAATTCCCTGCATTTTCTTTGGGATAATTTAGCGGTAAGGGACAATCCCCACTCTGCCTGAGGAGCAGAGCAGGATGAGGATGGGACGAGGGTTATGGAATGATCCATTTCCATCAGGAACAGAACATCCCTCCAGTCCTTTCCCACATTTTGGGGGATCTTCTGTTCCATGAGGGAGCAACTTCGGGGGCTGGAGGTCACCCCTCCCTCAGGGGCCCCGGGAGCCATTGGGGGATCCCCCCTGTCCCTCCACCCGCCCGGGCAGCTCGGGGCTCTCCCTCCGGCCCTCCCCGCTCGGGGCTCCCCCTCTCCGGCCCTCCCTTCCCGGGGCTCACCGGCAGCTTGGGGCTGACCTCGCCCTTGCAGCTGTGGCAAAAGAACCGGTGCTGCTGCACCGCCGCCGCCGCCTCCGCCATCTTCCCTCACAGCCGCCGCTGCCGTCACTCCTCCCAGAGCAGCGAGCGCGGGCCAGAGCGGCCCCGCACTTCCGGTCAGCTCGTCTGCTCCGCGCCCAGCCTGCAAAGCGCGGCCGAGCGGGATAGAGCGGCCCCACAAGGGAGGGAAGCGGAAGGGCGCCCCCTGGTGGGAGCCGCCCATTGGGAGCCGGGCAATGCCGAGCGGCGGCAGCGGAAGTGACGTAGAAGGAAGCGGAGCAGGACGGCGCCGTTGTCATGGCGGCGGTGATGGCGGCTTAGGCCGGGCCTGGTGGTGAGAGCGGGAGGGACATCGGGACACCGGGACGGGGAAAATCCCGGCTGGGGGAACACGGAACCGCGGGGACAGCGCTGATCCTCCCCCGGGAGGGGATCTGCAGCAGAGTCAGCCTCTGTCCCCTCTCTTCATCCATCCAGCTGTTCGTTCTTCCCTTCCTCCCGTTCCGTTCCCGCGATTCCGGAGCCGCCGCGATGACCCAGGCCGAGCTCCGGCTCTGCTCCCTCCTGCTGCGGGAGCATTTCGGGGAAATCGTGGAAAAAGTCGGGAATTCCCTGCTGCGGACGGGCCCGAGGCCGCTGCGGCTGCTGGTGGGGGACACGGGGCTGCTCCCGGATCAGGTACGGGCTGCGAGGGAGGAGGGAATTTTAATATTAAAATCATCTCGTATTGTTTGAAATTAACAGGAAATTATTGGAAGGTAATATGATTTTTTAATTTATTTGAAATTAATATGGTTTTATTCCCATTAAAAGGCGCGGGGTTATTCCCATGAAAAAGGATGGGTTTATTCCCATTAAAAGGGGATGGATTATTCCCATTATTCCTATTAACAGGTACAGGATAACTCCCACTAAAAGGGACCAGTTTACTCCCATTAAAAGGGGAATAATGGGAATTACCTCATGGGGTTATTCCCATTATTCCCCTTAAAAGGAATGGGGTTATTCCCATTAAAAGGGATGGGGTAACTCCCATTATTCCCATTAACAGGCACAGGGTAATACCCATTATTCCCATTAAAAGGGATGAGGTTATTCCCATCAAAAGGGACGGGGTTATTCCCACTAAAAGGAATGGGGTAATTCCCATTATTGACTTTAAAAGGGACAGGATAATTCCCATTACTCCCATTAAAAGGGATGGGTTTATTCCCATTATTCCCATTAACAGGCACGGGGTTATTCCCATTATTCCCATTAAAAGGGATGGGTTTATTCCCATTATTCCCATTAACAGGCACGAGGTAACTCCCATTATTCCCATTAACAAAGTCCCCACTAATTCCCGCTAAAAGCGCCCGCTTGATTTTTATCATTTTATTATATTTTCATTAATTATTCCCGCTCCAACCCGCGCCCCGCAGGTGAAGAAGGCGCTGTGCGTGCTGATCCAGCACCAGCTGGCGCGCTTCGAGGCGCAGCCGCGGGGCTGGGTGGAGTACGAGGCGCGGCGCGAGCGCGTCCTGCGCATCCTGCGCTACCCCCGCTACATCTACACGGCCAAGGCGCTCTACGGGGACCCCGGGGAGCTGCTGGTGGAGGAGCTGCTGCTGCACGGGCACCTGCCCATGAGCGCCGCCGTGGCCAGGGTGGCCGATCGCCTCACCGAGACCATGGAAGGTGAGAGAGAAACTCAGGAGAATGGGGTCTGGGAGTGGTGAATGGGATCAGAGATACTGGGGAGCCTCTGCTCCATGGGCACCTTCCCATGAGCGCCGCCGTGGCCAGGGTGGCCGATCGCCTCACCGAGACCATGGAAGGTGCGAGAGAAACTCAGGAAAATGGGATTTGGGAGTGGGGAATGGGATCAGAGGTACTGTAGGGTGACTGATGGCCTCACCGAGACCATGGAAGGTGAGAGAGAAACTCAGGAGAATGGGGTCTGGGAGTGGTGAATGGGATCAGAGATACTGTAGGGTGGCCGATCGCCTCACCGAGACCATGGAAGGTGCGAGAGAAACTCAGGAAAATGCGATCTGGGGAAGGGGAATGGGATCAGAGGTACTGTAGGGTGACTGATGGCCTCACCGAGACCATGGAAGGTGGGAGAGAAACTCAGGAAAATGGGGTCTGGGAGAAGGGAATGGTGAATGGGATCAGAGGTACTGTAGGGTGGCTGATGGCCTCACCGAGACCATGGAAGGTGCAAGAGAAACTCAGGAAAATGGGATTTGGGAGTGGGGAATGGGATCAGAGGTACTGTAGGGTGACTGATGGCCTCACCGAGACCATGGAAGGTGCGAGAGAAACTCAGGAAAATGGGATTTGGGAGTGGGGAATGGGATCAGAGGTACTGTAGGGTGGCTGATCGCCTCACCGAGACCGTGGAAGGTGGGAGAGAAACTCAGGAAAATGCGATCTGGGAGAGGGGAATGGTCAATGGGATCAGAGGTACTGTAGGGTGGCTGATCGCCTCACCGAGACCATGGAAGGTGGGAAGGGAGCTCAAAACAATGGGATCTGGGAGAGGGGAATGGTCAATGGGATCAGAGATACTGTAGGGTGGCCGATCGCCTCACCGAGACCATGGAAGGTGGGAAGGAGGCACCATCATCCCAAAAAATGGGATTTGGGAGTGATGAATGGTCAATGGGATCAGAGGCACCCATAGGGTGTTCTGTGGGGGGCTGCTGGTCCATGGGCACCTTCCCTTGAGCTCTGCAGTGGCCAGGGTGGCCGATCGCCTCATGGAGACCATGGAAAGTGGGAAGGAGTCTCCTTCATCCCAAAAAATTGGGATCTGAGTTGTTGAATGGGATCACAGGCACTGTGGGGTGGTGTTTGAGGGACCCAGGAGAGCTTTATGGGGACCACAGGGAGCTGCTGGTGGAGGAGCTGAGCTGCTGGTGGTCCATGGGTTCCTTCCCATGAGCTCTGCAGTGGCCAGGGTGGCCGATCGCCTCACCGAGACCACGGAAGGTGGGAAGGAAACTCCTCCATCTCCAAAAAATGGGATTTGGGAGTGGGTTTAGTTGGTGAGTGGGATCAGAGTTACTTTAGGGTGTTTCTCAGCCAGGCTGCAGTGGTGGCCATGGTGTCCCTGTGTTCTCCTGAGCTTCAGGAACATCCAGGATCTGCTCTTGGACAGGTCATGGAGACCATGGAGGGTGGGAAGCTCCTTTAAAACCCAGGGCTTTATTTGGGTTTGTGAATGTGCCAAAGGCTCTGGGGTGCTCGTGGCAGTGAGGACACCACGACCACGTTCTCCAAAGCCTCAGGACCATCCCACACCCACCCCCCGTGTGTCTCCTCCCACCCAGACGGGAAAACCATGGACTACACGGAGGTGTCCAACACCTTTGTGCGCCTGGCAGACACCCACTTCATCCAGAGGTGCCCCACGGCCCCAGAAGTGCCCCCAAATGGCAAAGTGCCACCAGCCCCTGCCCTGAGCATCGCTGACAAGGACATGTACTCGGTGCCTCGCCTCAGCCTCGTCGGTGAGACCCCAAAACCCCAATTCTGGGGTGGGAAATTGGGATTTTCGGGTATTGACTGCTAGGATTAAGTAGAAGTTGTTGATTTATGTTATGTATAAATGAAATTTTAAATTTTAAAAATAGTTTCTGATTAATAATTTAAATTTTAAAAAAATTATTCTTGAATTATTTTTAAATTATAATTTAAATTTTAAAAAAAATTTAAATTATAATTAATTTTTTAAAATTTATTCTTATTTAGAAACTATAGTTTAATTAAAAATATTTTTAAATTATTTAAAAAAATTAAATAAATTTTAAAAAAATTATTTTCAATTATGTAAAAATTATTACTTAAATGTAAAAAATGTTTTAAAATTATTTAAATTATTAAACTTAAATATTTACAAATTATTTACAAATTATTATTTAATTTAAAAAATAAAATTATTTTAAATTTATTATTTAAATTTAAAAAATTAATACTATTTTTATATATTTAATATAATTTTTGGGGTTGACAGGGAAAGGGAAGAGGAGACGCTCGTGTGACGAGGAAGAGGAGGGAGAGCACAAAGCCAAAAGGCAGAAGCAGGAGGGAGGAAGCTCAGAGGTACTGGCAGTGCTGAGATCCATATTCCCAAACATCTTCTGAGGAAACCAGGAATTTTGGTTTTTCTGGCTCTTTTTCATCATAATTTTTTGTGGCTCCTTTCTCTCGTTTTTATGGCTCCTTTCTCTCGTTTTTATGGCTCCTTTTCACCATTTTTCCCATTAAAAGGGATGGAGTTATTCCCATTAAAAGGAATGGGTTTAGTCCCAGTATTCCCATTAATTGGGATGGGGTAATTCCTATTTTTGTGGCTTTTTCCTCGTTTTCCTGGCTGCCATCTCTCAGTTTTGAGGCGGCTGTTCCTTAGCTTCCTGCCCCATTTCCCTCTCTTTTCCTGCCCTTTTACCCCCAATTTTCCTGCCCCTTTTCCCCCAATTTTCCTGCCCCATTTCCCCCATTTTCCTGCCCATTTCCCCTAATTTTTTGTCCTTTTTTCCCCCCAGGCTCCCCCAGATGATGGCATTTACTGGCAGGTGAACCTGGAGCGTTTCCATCAGCATTTCCGTGACCAGGCTCTGGTCAGTGCCGTGGCCAGCCGGATGGACCAGGTCTGTGCCTGCCCCTGGGGCTGTTCCAGATGTAATTCCTGCTTTTCTCTCCCTAATTCCAGCTTTTCCCTCTCTGATTCCTGCTTTTCCTGCTCCAATTCCTGCTTTTCCTGCTCCAATTCCTGCTTTTCTCACTCTAACTGCTGCTTTTCCCATTCTGGAACTGAGCTTTTCCCCCTCTAATTCCAGCTTTTCCCACTCCTTTTCCTGCTCTAATTCCAGTTTCTCCCTCTCTAATTTCCAGCTTTTCCCACTCTAATTCATGCTATTCCCCCTCCAATTCCTGCATTTCCCACTTCTTTTCCGTCCCTAATTTCAGCTTTCCCCCCTCTAATTCCCACTTCTATTTTCCTGCTCTAACTCCAGCTTTTCCCACTCAAATTCCTGCTTTTCCCTCCCTAATTCCAGTTTTCCCCCTCTAACTCCCACTTTTCTCACTCGTTTACCCCTTTAACTCCCCATTTTCCCAGCGCAGACCAGCAGTGAGGTGGTGAGGAATTTCCCCCTCTAATTCCTGCTTTTCTCACTCCTTTTCCCCCTGTAATTCCCATTTTCCCAGCACAGACCAGCAGTGAGGTGGTGAGGAATCTCCCCCTTTAATTTCCCCTTTTCCCCCTGTAATTCCCATTTTCCCAGCACAGACCAGCAGTGAGGTGGCGAGGAATTTCCCCCTATAATTCCCACTTTTCCCCCTGTAATTCCCATTTTCCCAGCACAGACCAGCAGTGAGGTGGCGAGGAATTTCCCCCTATAATTCCCACTTTTCCCCCTGTAATTCCCATTTTCCCAGCACAGACCAGCAGCGAGGTGGTTCGGACCATGCTGCGCATGAGCGAGGTCACCACGGCCTCGGGGGCCTCCCACACTCAGCCCCTCTCCTCCAACGAGGTGGGTCCTGGAAAAGCTCTGGAATCCTCTTGGAACCCAAAATTCTGAGAATTTCAGGTTTTTCTGGGTTGGGAGGGACGTTGGTTTGCTTTTCAGAACAGTATTAATGTAGTTATTAATATAAATATAAGTATACTATAATATACCATAATATACCATACCATGATATACCATGCTATAATATACCATACCATAATATACCATACCATGCCATAACATAACATATTATATAATATATAATATATAATATATAATATATAATATATAATATATTATATATTATATATAATATATAGTATATAATATATAATATATAATATATATAACAATTATATATAATATATGCTTATATATCATATATAAGCATTATATATAATTATATAAATAATATATAAGTATATATAATATATGCATTATATATGCTTATATATTATATATATAAGCATATATATTATGCTTTTATATATAATATATATGGTATTTATATATAAAATAATATACTAAGAGGTATGGTAAATAATTATTATATATATTGTATCTTATATAATTTTCTCTATATTATATGATATCTATTATATTTTATATATGTTTTTTGCTTTACTAAACAATATATAATACAAAAATATATTATTTATAATATATTAGTATATTAAATATATTGGTAGTAGTATTAGTAGTAATAGTACTATTATATAATTATATCGTATGTAATACTATATAATAAGATATTAATGTCTTATTATATAGTACATAATTTCAGACATGATTATATTATTCTATTCTATTTTATGATTTTCTATTATATTCTGTTCTATATCTTATAATGTGTTATATATCATAATATATAATAACATGTTTATATAGACATATAAAGATATATATAATTCTAATATATTTATTATATATATTACATATTTTATAAAATCTCTGCATATTATATAACATATAATATATAATGTATAAAATGTAATAAACATCTATAATCTCTACACATTTAACCCAAATCCTAACCAAAACAGGAAAAAATAGATAAAATGCAATTTTAACCCTTGGAATCCCTTGCCATTCCCTGGTTTTTTTTATATATTTTTTAGATTTTCAGGTCTCTCCCAGCTGGGTACAACATTGGGAAGCAGGTGCTGGACCAGTACCTGGCACTGCTGGCTGATGATCCGGTGAGCCTGGGCCTTTCATTCCATTTTTCCTCCTTTGTTCCTCTGTCTGAGGCTAAAACATGTTTTACTGAGAGTTTAAGGAAGGTTTTTAACAGATACGTAAAGATTTTTAAAGTTATTGAACAGATATCAAAGATATTGAAATTATTTATCAGGTAATAAATAGAATTCTGCATTCTATTTTACTGACACTGAAGGTATTTAACAGATGCTGAAGTTATTTCAGAATACTTGAGTTATTTAACTTATATAAAGCTATAAGTTATAATTTTAAGTTACAGTTATAAAGTTAAAAGTTGTAATTATAAGTTAAAGATTTTTTTTTCCCTGAAATCTTTCCTTTCCCATTCTAAATTTGAAGTAAAATTTCATATTTTCTCCCTGCAGTTGGAGTTTGTGGGGAAGTCGGGGGACAGTGGAGGAGGCACCTACACTGTCAGTATCCTTTGGGGTGATTTTGGGGATTTTGGGGTGATTTTCAGGAGATTTTTGGGTGATTTTGGGGCTATTTTGTGGAGAATTTGGAGGATTTTGGGGGGATTTCAGGATGATTTGGAAGGAATTTTGGGGCAGGGATTTTGGGCAGATTTGGGGTGACTTAGGGTATTTTTTTGGTGATTTTGGGGGATTTTTGTGCAATTCTCCTTGACCTCAACCCCTCCAGACCTGCACAAGGCCTTGGTGTCCCTAGCCATGTCAGATTTGGGCAGCTTTGAGGGATTTTTGGGGTGACTTGGGGTGATTTTCAGGGGATTTGGTGAGTGATTTTCAGGGGATTTTGGGAATGATTTTCAGGGGATTTTTTGGTGATTTTCAGGGGGTTTTGTGAGTGATTTCTAGGGGATTATGGCAGTGATTTTGGGCAGATTTTAGGTGACTTTTGGGGTGATTTTTGCACAATTCTCCTTGACCCCAAACCCCTCCAGACCTGCACAAGGCCCTGGTGTCCCTGGCCACGGCCACGCTGGAGTCCATCGTGGAGGAGAGGTGACCAAGGGGACCTGGAGCCCCTTCCTGGGCTGCCCCAGCCCCTTCCCCACATCCCTCCCTCATTCCCACCCCTCCTGATCTGCCCCCAGCCCCTTCCCCACATCCCTCCCTCACTCCCATCCCCCTGATCTGCCCCCAGCCCCGTCCCCACATCCCTCCCTCACTCCCACCCCTCCTGAGCTCCTCCAGCCCCTTCCCCACATCCCTCCCTCACTCCCACCCCTCCTGGGCAGGTTTGGCTCCCGCTGTGCCCGGATTTTCCGGCTGCTCCTGCGCAAGAAGCACCTGGAGCAGAAGCAGGTGGAGGATTTTGCCATGATCCCAGCCAAGGAGGCCAAGGACATGCTCTACAAGCTGCTCTCGGAGAACCTGGTGGCCTTGCAGGTGAGGGATTTGCCCAGGTGTGACAGCTGGACAGGTGTGGGGCACTTCTGAGTGATCCCACCTGGGATTTGGGCACATTTGGGGAGGGGGGATCCTAAGGGGAGAGATCACAGGGACACCCCTGGGAAAGGGGATTTGCTTCCATTTGGTTTCCACCATCTCTCTGCCCTTCCACAGGAGATTTCCAGCTCTGGGATCCCACAGATTGCCCAGGTGTCACATCTGGCCAGGTTTGGGGCACTTCTGGGCACTTCTGAATGATCCCACCTGGAATTTGGGCACAGGGATCACAGGGACACCCTTGGGAAAGGGGTTATCTCCATTCAGTTCCCACCATCTCTCTGCCCTTCCACAGGAGGTGATTCCCTGCTCTGGGATCCCAGAGATTGCCCAGGTGTCACATCTGGCCAGGTTTGGGGCACTTCTGAATGATCCCACCTGGAATTTGGGCACATTTGGGGAGGGGGAATCCTAAAGGGAAAGGGACACTTCCATTTGGTTCCCACCATCTCTCTGCCCTTCCACAGGAGATGATTTCCAGCTCTGGGATCCCAGAGATTGCCCAGGTGTCACATATGGCCAGGTTTGGGGCACTTCTGGGCATTTCTGAGTGATCCCACCTGGAATTTGGGCACAGGGATCACAGGGACACCCTTGGGAAAGGGGTTATCTCCATTCAGTTCCCACCATCTCTCTGCCCTTCCACAGGAGGTGATTCCCTGCTCTGGGATCCCAGAGATTGCCCAGGTGTGACATCTGGCCAGGTTTTGGGCACTTCTGGGCATTTCTGAGTGATCCCACCTGGAATTTGGGCACAGGGATCACAGGGACACCTCCAGGGAAGGGGACACCCCCAACTTTGTCCCCACCATCCCTCTGCCTTTCCACAGGAGATTCCCAAGACCCCAGACCACGCTCCATCCCGCACCTTCTACCTGTACACGGTGAACGTGATGGCTGCTGCTCGCATGCTGCTCCACAGATGCTACAAGGTGAATCCCAGACACCACAGATCCTGCTCCTGGTCTGTCCAAGATCACAGATCCTGGGCTGTCCCTGCAGGAATTGCCAGGGAATCCAGGCCCTGATGCAGGGAACCATCCCAGAGGTGCCATGTCCAGGTGTCACAGCCCCTCCCTTGTGGTGCCACAGGGGTGGCAGCAGCTCCATCCTCTGTGTGTGCCCTGTTGGGTTTTTGGGAGTGTAGGGCCCCTTGGGAAATAATTTTTATATATCATCTATATTATATATTATATAGTTTTTTATATATTGTATATTATATATTATATATAATATATTATATATTATATATGGTCTTGGTTTTCCCAAATAATATATAATATAAAAATATATTGTTTATAATATATTAACATATATTAGTATATATTATTAGTACACCTGAGCTGGGGGCTCACCTGGTTCTTTCTGGGGCTCCTTCCTTGCTCCAAGGTCCAGGTGTCCGAGCCCTCTCCCTCGTGGTACCACAGGGGTGGCAGTGACTGTCCCCGTGTCCCCCGTGGGTGGCAGTGACCGTCCCCATGTCCCCCATTGGTGACAATTACTGTCCCTGTGTCCCCCATGGGTGGCAGTGGCTGTCCCCGTTGTGACAATGACTGTCCCCCTGTCCCCCATTGGTGTCAGTGACTGTCCCCATGTCCCCCATGGGTGGCAGTGACTGTCCCCCTGTCCCCCATTGGTGACAATTACTGTCCCTGTGTCCCCCATGGGTGGCAGTGGCTGTCCCCATGTCCCCCATTGGTGGCAGTGGCTGTCCCCGTGGTGACAATGACTCTCCCAATGTCCCCCATGGGTTGCAGTGACTGTCCCCCTGTCCCCCATGGGTGACAATGACTGTCCCCATGTCCCCCATGGGTGACAATGACTGTCCCCAGGTCCCCCATGGGTGGCAGTGGCTGTCTCCGTTGTGACAATGACTCTCCCAATGTCCCCCGCGGGTTGCAGTGACTGTCCCCATGTCCCCCATTGGTGACAATGGCCGTCCCCGTGTCCCCCATGGCATTCTCAGTGCTCCCCTCACACCACGCTGGCTTCTCCCCCGTTCCTTCCGCAGAGCGTGGCCAACCTGATGGAGCGGCGGCAGCACGAGATGCGCGAGAACAAGTGAGCTCCGTTGGGGGTGTCGGGCTGGCACGGCGGGCACAGCGCCGCCACCGCCACCTCCCCCGTCCCTGTCCCCTGGCAGGAGGCTCCTGGAGAAGTCGCAGCGGGTGGAGGCCATCCTGGCCTCCATGCAGGCCACGGGGGCCGAGGCGGCGCAGCTGCACGAGGTGGAGGAGATGATCACGGGCCCCGAGAGGCAGCAGCTGGAGAACCTCAAACGCAACGTCAACAAGTGAGGGGGGACCCTGAGCACAGGGGGAGAGGGGGATTGGACTCTGTGTTTCAGAAGGCTTGATCTGTTATTTTATGATATATTTTATATTTATTATATATATACTTATTATTTTATTAAGTAATATCTAATATAATAATATTAATATATAATAATATGAATAGATAAATAATATAAAATATATCGATATAAAATATAAATATAAAATATTTTAATATTTGTAGTACATATTATATAAGTAATATAAAATATAATTCTATAAATATATATTAATATATTATATATCAATAAGTATATAAATATAATTACATTATAATATAGTAATATTCTATTATAATAATAAAGTATCATTATATTCATTTAATATTATATGTTTATAATATAATAAATAAAAAGTATATTAATATATGGATAAATATATAGCATATAATAAAATGTAATGATAAATATTAAAATATATATTCATATAGATTATTCATATCTATAAATAAATATTTAAATATAATTATATTATAATATAGTAATATTCTATTATAATAATAAAGTATGATATTCATTTAATAAATATTATATATATTATAATATAATTAATACATAAATGAAATATAGTAATATATAGATAAAGATATAGCATATAATAAAATATAAATAGAAAAATATTTTATATATTAGTTATATAAATATATATTTTTATATATTAGTTAATATAATATATATTATATTAAAATTATACTAAAAGAATAGAAGAAAGGATTTCATCAGAAGGCTAGCTAAGAATAGAAAAAAAAAAAAATTAAAAACAAAGGCTTATATACATTTATATATCAGACAGAAGAGTCTGAACTAGCTGACTGTGATTGGCCATTAATTAAAAGCAACCACATGAGACCAATCACAGATCCATCTGCAGCACATAATCATTGTTTACATTTTGTTCCTGAGGCTTCTCAGGAGAAAAACGTCTTAAGGAAAGGATTAGATAAAAGAGAAAAACTCTTAAGGACAAGATAAAAGCCGTCTGTGACAGGGGGATGGGAGCAGGGTGGGGAGGGGACTGGGGACCCTGTGGGGACCCTGCCCATCCCTGTGTGTCCCCCAGGATCGACGCCAGTGAGAACCAGGTGGATGAGACCATCTTTGTGCTGGAGTCCTTCATCGAGAGCACCATGAGGAGGCCGTGAGGGACAGGACAAGGACGAGGACAGGGACAACAAGAGGAACGAGGATGTGAGTGGGGACAGGGAGCAGATGCCTCTGCCCGCAGTGCTTGTGCTGCTGAGGAGAATAAAGGAGCACTTGGTAATAACGCACCTGTGTGTCAGGATCCTGATGGCAGACTGCAGGAGGCACTGGTGCCAGTTTGGGTCTGGGAACCACCCTGCAAAATGCAGAATTTCAGCAAGCATCATCCCACTCCAGCCCACAGGTCCCCAAACACCAACACCAGCCTTCTCCCAGGTGAACAAAACTCACCTGCCCAGGTTCCTGGTGCCAGTTTCCTGTGGCCCTCGTGGGCTAAGGCTGGTTCCAAGGAAAAAGCTGTGAAGGCACATTGTGGTAGTTTTGTGTTCCCCTTGGGATGCCTGGAGCTCTGGGCTTTGTGGTTAAAAACCCTAAACCTAACCCTAGGCAGGAAATGCAGCCTAGGGCTAAGGCTGTCTGCAAGGAAAAATCTGAGTTCTGGCCTGGTTTAGTCCGAGTCTGGCCTGGTTTAGTCTGAGTCTGGCCTGGTTTAGTCCGAGTCTGGCCTGGTTTAGTCTGGCCTGGCTGAGTTCTGGCCCTCCCCAGCCCAGCCAGGCTCAGCTGAGCATCTGCAGCCCCTGGGCTGACATGGATGAGACGGACAAATGACACACACACACTTGTGCAAACACTCCCTTTTATAATAATAAAATGTTTAATACTCCTAAAAAGCGCTTCCATCAAAACAGTGCACCACATTCAGAAAGGAAGAGCTTGATTTCAGAAGGCATCGTTTCAGAAAAAATGAGCTTACTGCATTTTACTGGCTTAAAGAAATAATGTTAAATGCTGAAATGGCAAATATGTGCAATACATTATTAAGGCATTAATGCTGCTCAGTAAGGCACGTGTGCTCTCACGTCAAATATCCCTTTTGTGTTAATACTGTCAGTTTCTGTGCTAATGGCCTTGATTCCTCCTTGCTACGGTAAACTCGTATTTTATCAATTTGGTCTTTTCCTGAGTTGTTTGGTCTGTAAACCAGGTGAGATATTAACTCAGTGCTTCCATCCTCCCTCCAGAGAGGGAAAAAGGACAAAATTCTGGTGTGTAGAGGAGCACCATGAAGACACTGAGGTCAGTGAAGAGGAATCGAGACCCAGATGGGAGGGGTGAGGAGATGCCTTTAATTTTAGGCTGAAATCCTGAGATAAAGAGAACCTTTGCTCTTGAACAGCTCATCCTTCACACAGTACCCCATGAATTGTCATGGCCCATGAACACAGCTGTGGAAAAGGGGGGAAAAGGAATGTAGAGAGCCACGAGAGAACTGTTTCCTTGTGGAGAAGTCTCCATAACATTAACAAGAGGGACTTCTCTCCCTGAGTGAAATGAAGGAGGACAATTCTAGAGCTCGTAAACAGACTGAAATTTTGTCACTTTGCATTGTCAGTAGGTAAAGGAAAGTTGTAGGGGGAAGAGGGATGTTCTGAAGGTTTTAATTCTTAGTGCTCCTTCTTTTTAGTTACTGTTAAATCAATATCAAAATAAACTATTAAAAATAAATACTGTTTTTAGGTTTTGAGCCTGCTTTGCCATTCCCTAATCCTATGTCACAAGAAAAGGGTAATTACATTCCAGTGCACGGTATTCACATTTTTTGAACAGAGACATAATTCTCCCAGAATTTTTCCTGAGGAAGGGAGTGAGAAAGCCCTGAGAGAGAAGAGAAAACAATTCTTGTCTCTACTTGCTGCTCCTGTTGTTTGGCACATATGGAATATATTATGGAGATTTTTTACTGAGAGTGATTTGTTAATTGGACTCTGGTGATGGCTGCTTGGATTGATTGACCAATTGGGTCAAAGCTGTGTCGTGACTGACTGGTCACACGTTCTTCTAGTTAGTGTGGAGTATTAGTAACACAGTGTATTGTAGCTTAATAATATAGTATAGCTTAATAATAATCTAGCATAGCTTAATAAAACATTTTACTCAGCCTTCTGAAATCAAGGGGGCAATGCACATTATTCCCACAATGGGGTTTGTGCTGTCAATATACCAGTGCACTTGTGATAGGCCACCACTAAATACATTACATTAATTTCAGTGCATTAACAGAGAAATCTCAAGTAAGTGAACCAAAACCACACAAAATTGGTGTTTCTGTCCAGTTTCAAATACAGCTGCCACAACAAGGAACAGTTCTCATAAATTTGGTGTTTCTGTCCAGTTTCAAGCTAAAGCTGCCACAACAAGGAAGCTTTCGCAGCCTTCCCACAGCTGCATTCGGGGGCCATGTCAACTTACTGGGGGGGTATTTTTAAGGATGAGCTATTCTAGCATAAAAACAAAAGTTCTTTTAATCCATCTCTGGGATCACAGGGCAATGTTTTTCACCTCTCTCATCCCTCTCTGTTCAAACTTCCCATTGGATCACAGCTACCTCAACATCTGCTTATTTCAATACTGATGCTTCTCATGGCTGTGGTTAGAATGCTACATCCAGCCGTGAATTACAGGGAAAAACAAAGTCTGATATATCAAGTGTATCTTCACCATAGCCTTACAAAAGGTGACTAAGGCATCTCCTCAGTCTCCTTCCATCTAAAAATTTGATTCCTTCCTTACTGACCTCAGTGTCCCATGTTATTTTCTTTGTATGTTTTCACCTTGTCCTTTTCCTCATCTGGGAGAGAACTGGTGTTAGTAGGTTGGTTTGTTCTAAAGCTTTATATACAGCTTTTGCATAGCACCAAAGGGTTGATCTCCTCCATCACACAGACTCCTTGGCCTGCATCTCGCTGTCCATCAGCTGGTCCCCACTAGCACCATGGGAGTTGTCCTGGCTGCCAGCGCTGCTCCGGCGCCTTCTCCTTCTCTTCTTGCCTGGTAGAAAGAAAAAAACCCAACCTGCTGTCGCTGCTTTTGCCCTTCTGTGTGCAGCACACCTGGCTAAAAGCAGCGAAGCAAAGTCCAGCGCAGGCCAGGCTGAGAGAACCCAGCCCTGAGGATTTTGGAGCTGCCCCCCGTGCTGGCCAGGAGGCTGCTCCTGGTGCTGGTCCTGGCCATGAGGTTGCTGGTGGTGTTGGGACACTCCTGGTGGCATTGGGACACTCCTGGTGGCTGCTCATGGCATTGGGACACTCCTGGTGGAAGGGGCAGCTGAGGCAGAAATCTCAGCCCAGCCCCACCATGGGGCCGGCCAGTGACCTGTCCCCAGGCCAGAGGAAACAGAGCTTGGGCTTTGTTGGTTTTTAAAAAATCTGCTTTTCTACAGAGGCTGTTCAGCTCCTTTCAGTGGTTTCAATCACAAACCCAGCCAGCACATTGGCTCTGCCCCACAGGGAACCGACCCCACAGCCCCTGGGCTCTCCCCCAGCTAAAACCATGAAGGGAGATGAGACAGAGTCAGGAGAACCCCAAATCAGCCCTAAATCCACCCCAAATCAGCCCCAAACTGGAACTCCAAATCCGCCCCATTCTGGCTCTGTCCCCCTCCCAGGTCCCACCTCCTGCTGCCCAGGGCTCCAGGTTTTCCACACTCACCTCTGAATTTACGGTAGAGGAAAGTGAGTAAAAGCAAGACTACAGTCACAAACGGGATCGAGATCCAGCTGTTGGAGTGGGCATCTGCAAAAGGAAGAAGATCCAGGGGCAACAAAGCAAAATGAACCTGGCTCTTCCTGGCATTAGGCAGGGGGAGTTTGGCCCCAAACCCCACCCTGATCCCTCATTCCAGGGGATCTCACTCCAAGCCAGGGCACAGGTGGCGCTGGACTGCCTGGGGGACACTTGGGGACACTCAGGAGCACGGCTGGACATGGACAGGGGTGGCGCTTACCTGTGCTGGGAGGGACCGTGGCGTTTGCTGGTGAAGAGAGAGAAAGGGACACGGGTCAGAGCTTCCCTCTGCATCCCAGGGAGAGACAGAGCCCCGGAGAGTTTGCTCCTCTCAGGGGATTGGGATCAGCCCATCTCACCTTTCCCTTCACCCTTCCATGGCCCTCACAGCAAGTGAGATCAGCCCATCCCAACCCCAACTTTCCCATGTTCCTCAGGGGATCAGGATCAGCCCACCCCAACCCCAACATTCCCGTGTTCCTCAGGGGATCAGGATCAGCCCACCCCACCTTTCCCCTGCCTGTCCCCAGCTCTCACCGTTGGGGAGCACCCTGGGGGTGGTGATGGTGACACTCTCATTGCTGACCAGGTCCTCTCCCACACAGTTCAGCGGCTCCAGCTCCTTCCAGGATGATTCCTTCACCTGCAGCATGGGGCTCTCAACCTGATCTTCTCCCTGAGCCACGGTGGAGATCACGCAGCACCCGCAGGACTCGTGCGAGCAGCTCTGGACCTCGCAGGTCTCCGTGGGCTCTGCCAGCTCCTCTGCGGGCACAGGGGTGTCACAAACCTCTCTTTCAGTGTAAACCCCCCCAAAACAACACTAAAAGCACCTACTGGATTTCTGGAGTTTGAAGGTGGATTCTTTTCCATCATTATGTATAGTGTAGGTCCCACCATCCACTGTTGTCTGCGCAGAGATGCAGAGCATGTCGCTGTCCTCGTAGACACTATAAAGGTCTTCTGATTTGCATTTATGAGAATAGTATCCATGAGAATTCACATACAATATGGGCTTCTCGTTTAAATAACAGACTGCTGGCTTCACTTTTCTGTTTTTGATGCAGTACAACAGGGACCCATGCAGTAAATTTGTCATGTCCTTGGTGTCACTGGCAGGGAAGAGAAAGTGGGGAGAGAATTTAGGATGAAGGCAGGGTGGAGGTCAGTTGAAGGGTGGGATGAAGCTGGGGTGAAGGAGTGCTGAGTATAGGCTGGAGGTGGGATGAAGGTAGGCTGAAACTGAGATGAAAAGGTGGGATGGAGTTGGGATAGAGTTGGGACCAAGCTGGGATCAAGGTGGGATGAAGCGGCTGAACCCAGAGGATGAAGCCCATCAGGCCTGGGGGTGCTTGAGGGCTCATGGGGGGCTCATGGAAGGGTCCCTGGGAGAAGGAAGAGCACGAGACCACCCCCAGGCCGAGCCCCCTGAGCCTCGTGCCAAGGATGGAGCCCGGAGGGGACCTGAGAGGGAAAGGGGAACGAGGATTTGGGGATGGGAGGGTCAGGAAGGGTCACTGAGCAGGACAGGGAGCTCCTGGTCAGACCTGCAGCTGCTCCTTGGAGGAGAATCTGGGAATTGTGGAAAGGTTTGGGTTGGGAGGGACTCAAAACTGCTCTCATTCCACTCCCCTAAAATCCCCAAACCTTCCCCCAGCCCTGCCCAGCCTGGCCCTGGACACTGCCAGGGGTGCCTGGGGCAGCTGCACCACGGCTTCTCCAGGCTGACCACTCCCTGTGGCCACAGGGAAGGGAACACTTTGAAACTCTGGACTCGCTGCAGCAGGGGAGATGGTTGTAGGTTTTGGGGGATTCTCCTCGGTTCTCTCACCTTGCACTGGCCCGCGGACCGGTGCTGTGTGTTAGGACGGTGTTGTAGCAAGTCCCTGGAAGTGACAAGAACCACAAATCCTCTGTGAGAAACTACGCTCGCTTTTAAAATTTTAATGGTTTAGTAAACTTTGACAAAATACAGCAAAGGACTGAATAAGGGAAAGTGCAGAGTCATGCAAATGGATGACTTGCATGCCCGGCTGCTTTCCTCCGGCATCCGCCTGCCCCGGACCCTGCCCGGACCCCAGCCCCGGCCCCGGCGGTGAATGTGCCTGCCCCGCGGCCACGCCTGGGGTCCCTCCCTTCTGCACGCTCTATGAACCGCGCTAGGGCGCCGGTCGATCCCAGCAATCCCATCCCGAGCGCTCCCCATCCCTGCCTGCTCTGCCCTGCCCGTGCCGGGGTGCGGAGCGCGGGGCGCTGCCATTGCCAGTCCGCGCCACGGGCACTTTCCCGTCTGATACACTGCGTAATTGCTCCCCCTTAGCGGTTCCGGCACCAGACCCGGCTACACCCTGGAGGGCCGAGACTCGGCGCGATGCCGTACCCTCAGCCCCCGTCCCGCCCTGCGCTCCGGTCCCTCGCAACCATAGCTCCGACTGCTCAGGAAAACTCTAGGAGCTCAGTTAAAGGCAGCCCTCTCCAAATAAAAAGAGTTAGATGAAAGGATTGCTCTATTGGTGCTGGGAGCGGGGCGTGAGCCGGGGCGGGCGGCGCTGGGAGAGCAGCCCCGGGCGATGCCGGAGCGGCCCGGTCAGCGGGAGAGCGCCCCCTGGCGGTGGCGGGAGGCCGGAGGAGCGGCGTGGGGCGGCGGCGGCTGCTGCCGCGGGGGGGGCCGGGGGGGCCACGGCGAACGGTGGCCGAGCAATGGGCGAGTCGGCGGCTGGGCCGCGGCGCGCAGCTCGCAAGCTGGGCTGGCGTGGCTGCCGGCCCGGCGGGGAGGAGCGGCACTGCCCGAGCGCCGGCGCCGGGAAACCGAGCTGGAGCGGCGCCAACACGGGGTGGATTGGGGAGCTGGGGCGCCCCGTGTCCCAGAACTGCGCTGGAATGCCGGCAGGGGGGCAGGGAGGAAGGGGGCCAGGGTAGCGGAGTTCCCGGTGCGGTAACTTACCGAAGTAGCTCCGGGGCAGCGACAGGTGTTCTTGGTCCGAGAGCGGCGGAGACGGCAGAGACGCAGCAGCGGCGGACGCAGACGGGTCTTGGGCCATGGCCGGCGCTGTGTGGGGGGCGGAGAGGGGAACCGAGAGGGCTGGAAGAGGAGCCGGGCTACCTTGCGGGACACGCGCTGAAGTGGCGCCGCTGCAAAAATGCGCAAGCGCCTATCGACCGTCGCTTTTAGTGCCTGGGCGGGCCCGCCATGACGCTGCTGGGCGTGCCCGTAGGGGCGGGAGGGGGACGGGGCCCCCGTGATGGCGGAATCGGGCTGTAACCGCGGTAGCCGGGGCAGCACGGACTAACGGGAGGGCGGGAGCGGCCCTGGGGTGCAGTGGGGCGGCCGGAACCGGGGGAACGGGTGCCGGGACCGGGAGGGCGGCAGGCGGGGCGGCAGGGGGTGAGCAAGGCCTCGCAGATGGGTCTGCACTCAGAGTTTGGGTCTCTCCTCAGAGCTCTGGTTTCAGGCCGTGCTTGGCAAGGCCTCGCAGGTGGGTCTGCACTCACAGCTCCAGAGCGGCTCCACTCTCTGGTGCTCAGCATCACTCGGGGTGTGTGGCAGGATCCCTCCTTGACAGCTCCAGGGATGCCACGGCAAAATTCCTCAAAGAGCTCCAGGTAGCTGTGGCTGCCCGTGCTCGAGGAATGCCAGGCCATTTCCTCCCAGAGCTCCAGGTAATCGCTGCTCGAGGTTTGCCTCAGCAACATTACAGAGCTCCGGGTTTCACCCTGCACAGCAAGGGGATGCCGTGCTCACGACAGCTCTCAGGCAGCCATAACTGAGAGTAACTTTTAGTTACTGTCCATGGAGAAATGTCCCACAGGTGGGGAAGCTGAACTGGCCCTTCAGACACGTTTGGGAGCCAGTCTGTGGGAGAGACGGGGGGTAGGACGGTGGGGATGGACAGAGACGAGAGACATCTGAAGCCAGGGCTTGGAACTTGTGGTTTATTGCACAGGGCCTGGGTGCAGGGCCCTGCTGGAATTTGGGGTTTATTGCACAGGGCCTGGGTGCAGGGCCCTGCTGGGATTTGGGGTTTATTGCACAGGGCCTGGGTGCAGGGCCCTGCTGGGATTTGGGGTTTATTGCACAGGGCCTGGGTGCAGGGCCCTGCTGGGATTTGGGGTTTATTGCAGAGGGCCTGAGTGCAGGGCCCTGCTGGGATTTGGGGTTTATTGCAAAGGGCCTGGGTGCAGGGCCCTGCTGGGATTTGGGGTTTATTGCAAAGGGCCTGGGTGCAGGGCCCTGCTGGGATTTGGGGTTCATTGCAAAGGGCCCTGCTGGGAGCTGCCAGCCACAGCTCAGAGCAGGCCCCAAGGAAGGGAGAGAGAGGTAAAGAGAGTGGTAAAGAGAAAGAAGGCAAGAGCGTGGTAAAGAGAGAGCGAGGAAGAGTAAAAGAGTAAAAAAGAGGACAAAAGAGTAAAAGAGAGCAAAGTTCCCAATACAATACCATAAATCTTCTTCTGTGCTGAATATCTTTATTCTCAGAATCCAATCTAATACCAGATACAAATCCTATAGCATTTACATACAGCTTATAACAATTATTACATTACCATACTATATTACATTTTCAACCCTAAAAACTCCTCTTTGGACCCTTTCTGCTAAACTAGTGGGGTCTGCTCTTGGACTTGTCTGCAAGCAGAGGGTGTTTGTTGTTCCATCAAAAGCAGATTACCTTCAGCCAGCCACACCATTGTTGTTCAGGTGTTCAGAAACTAATTGAGGTATCTCAAAGCTTGCTCTCATTTCAATCTTGCTTATTGTTTCCATAGTCTCAAAATCTTTTGCCAGGCAATCATACTAATAAGGCTTTCCTGTTTTCATCTTCCCCAATATCTCCACAAGAAACAGTTCTTTCCTGGCTTTTAATTTTAATTTCCATGAAAGGAACAAAGTCCACTGTGAGACAGCCGTGGTTGTGCGGCGCTGCCCCGGCCACGAGGATTTTGGCCGGACTGTCTTGGCCTTGTGGCCACTCTGGATTTCGGGGCTGCTCCTGGTGCTGGTCCTGGCCACGAGGCTGCTGGTGGCATTGGGACACTCCTGGTGGCTGCTGGTGGCATTGGGACACTCCTGGTGGAAGGGGCAGCTGAGGCAGAAATCTCAGCGTGGGGCCAGCCAGTGACCTGTCCCCAGGCCAGAGGAAAGAGAGCTTTTCTTGGGCTTTGGTTTTTAAAAGAATCTGCTTTTCCACAGAGATGTGTTCAGCTCCTTTGGTGTGAGTCTTCGAACCCAGCCAGATGATTGGCTCTTTACACCTTGCCAGCAGATTGGCTCTGCCCCACAGGGAACCAACCCCGCAGCCCTTGGGCTCTGCGCCACCTAAAAACCCAACAATGTGTTAAACCACGAGGGGAGATGAGACAGAGTCAGGAGAACCAAAATCAGCCCCAAATCAGAACCCCAAATCCACCCAAATCAGCCCCAAATCCACCCCAAACCACCCCCACTCTGGCTCTGTGCCCCTCCCAGGTCCCACCTCCTGCTCCCCAGGGCTCCAGGGATGGTTTTCCACACTCACATTTATATTTACAGTAGGACACGAGGAAAATCGATAAAAGCACTGCGACTTCAACCCTGACTATGATGCTGATCCAGATCCAGCTGCCGGAGTGGGCACCTGGAAAGAGAAGATCCAGGGGCAACAAAGCAAAATGAACCTGGCTCTTCCTGGCATTAGGCAGGGGGAGTTTGGCCCCAAATCCCACCCTGATCCCTCATTCCAGGGGATCTCACTCCAAGCCAGGGCAGAGGCGGCGCTGGATGAGGACGAGCGGCTTGGTGGAGGCAGCAGCAGGAGAATCCCAGAATCCCAAAATCCCAGAATCCCCAAATCCCAAAATCCCCAAATCCCCAAATCCCACAGTTGTTGGGTGAGAAAGGAACTGTGGAGATCTCCCAGCTCTGCCAGGACAGGGTCACCCAGAGCAGGGGACACGGCCAGGTGGGTTTGGGGTGGCTCCAGAGGGGACACTCCATGGGAAGAGGTTCTCAAACAGGGATGGTTTCTTGGGGTTGGGTTTGTGGCCACCACTCCTTGTCCCGTCCCTGGCACCTCTGGGAAGAGCCTGGACATTCCCAGCACAGGGATTTTGGGAGGAGCTGGAGGGTGCTGGGCTGGGGCTCCCCAGTCCCCCTTCCTGGCTGGGCATGGAAAAGCTGCCCCAGGCACTCAGGGACAATTGGGGACAACTGGGGACACTCAGGAGCGTGGCTGGACATGGACAGGGGTGGCGCTTACCTGAGCTGGGAGGGACCGTGCTGATTGCTGGTGAGGAGAGAGAAAGGAACACGGGTCAGAGCTTCCCTCTGCATCTGAGCCACCGCTCCAGCAAAAACCAGAGCCCAGCACAGCCTCAAATCCCAGCTTTTCCTGCTCTCAGGGATCAGGATCAGCCCATCCCAACCCCGAATCCCAATGTTCCCATGGCTCTCAAAGGAATCAGGATCAGCCCATCCCAACCCCGAATCCCAGCTTTTCCTGCTCCCAGGGATCAGGATCAGCCCACCCCACCTTTCCCCGGCTCTCACCATCGTGGAGCACCCTGGGGGTGGTGACGGTGACGTTCCTGCTGCTGACGGCGTTCCGCGCCGTGCACGTCAGCGGCTCCAGCCCATCCTGGGATGTTTCGTTCACCTGCTGCATGGGGCTCTCAACCCCTGGCTGAGCCGAGGTGGAGGAGATGCTCCTGAAGCATTCCTCACTGCCGGTGTCTCCGGGCGTGGAGCAGCGCAGGCAGCAGCTGCAGCTCCTGTGTGAGCAGTTCTGGGCCTCGCAGGTCACCGTGAGCTCTGCCATCTCCCCTGTGGGCCCAGGGGTGTCACAAACCTCTGTTTTAGTATAAAACCCCCCAAAATGGCATTAAAAGCACCTACTGAACACGTGCAGGGTGAAGGTGGATCTTTTATCCCCAATGGTTACAGAGTAGGTCCCGGCATCCTCCATCCTCAGCTGGGGGATGCTGAGCGCGTGGCCGTTCTCGCAGACGGCGAAACGGGCTTTGAATTTGTCTTCGAAAAATATGAGTCGAAGAGGGTTCTTGAACACCACAGTCACTATGGGGTCACTCCCAAAACTCCAGAGGGCCACGTTTCTGTCGGGGTTGTGGCTGTGGAAGGTCACAGAGCCGCCCACGGCCCTGATCACCTCCCTGGTGTCGCTGGCGCTCGCTGGGGAGAGAAGGTGGGGAGTGAACTTGGGATGAGGGTGGGATCAGAGCAGGATCAGGGTGGGATGAAGCGGCTGAACCCAGAGGATGAAGCCCATCAGGCCTGGGGGTGCTTGAGGGCTCATGGGGGGCTCATGGAAGGGTCCCTGGGTGAAGGAAGAGCACGAGGCCACCCCCAGGCCGAGCCCCCTGAGCCTCGTGCCAAGGATGGAGCCCGGAGGGGACCTGAGAGGGAAAGGGGAACGAGGAGCTGGAAACAGCCTGGCCCCGGACACTGCCAGGGGTGCGTGGGGCAGCTGCACCACGGCTTCTCCAGGCTGACCACTCCCTGTGGCCGCAGGGAACCTGGAACTATGGACTGGCTCCAACAGTTCCATGAACTTCGCATGTTGGGGGCACCAGACCTGGTGGGATCTCACCATTCCAGGTGGACTCTCACCATTCCAGGTGGGATCTCACCATTCCAGGTGGACTCTCACCATTCCAGGTGGGCTCTCACCATTCCAGGTGGGCTCTCACCATTCCAGGTGGGATCTCACCATTCCAGGTGGACTCTCACCATTGCATCAGTGAGAACCCTCCCACCCTCCTTTGGGTGCAGCCCAGGACAAGGTCCAGGATCCCTCTGGACCCATCCCTTCCCTCCGGTGACCACACCATGCCCTTGGCTCACCAATTTAAGGAGGAAGGAGCTGTTTTTGTTATTTTTGCAACTTCCCATTTCCAGTTAACCACGTCACACAATTTATACCGGGAATGGAGTTCTCCTTCCCAGTTTTTCTAACCGGGAGCTGATCCTGGCCCAGCCCCAAGGTCGGCTCGGAATTTCTGACTCCCTCAGCCTCAGCCACCCCTGGGACACAAACAATGGAGCACGTGACAGGAAAAAGCTGCAGGGGAAGATAAGCTGGCAGGAAATTTGCTGAATACTGCAGCCACCAGGTGGTTCATGTGATAAACCCCCCTCGGAGGATGTGGGGAAGGGCTGGGGCTGAACCTTGCCTAATCTCCCTCTTTTCAGCCAGAAAACACCCCAAGATGAGACGTCAGAGCAAGATGTTTTGAGAACATCTGGAGCAGAGGCTGGACCAGAGATGGGCACCAGGCATGGACACCAGCAGCAGGTTTCCATGGCAGCCCTGGATCCCAACACTGGGCACAAATCCACCCCATGGAGCTGCTCTGGTGCTCCCACACAGCCCTCGACCCTCAAAAACCCCAAAACCACCCCAAGATTTCCTTCCCAGGGAACAAGGAGCACCCGGCACTCACTGGTTTGGTGGAAGAGGACGAGGATGGCGAGACGAGCAATCCAAAATATGTCCGTGGATATCCAGAAACAGAGAGGATTTGGGGCACCAGCACCCAAAAATGAGCACCACAAAGAGGAAGAAGAAAAGTGCCTGGGTGGAGAGGATGTGGCTTTAGACGTGGTTTGTGACAAAAATGGAGCGACAAGGAGGAGCAATTCACACTCACACAGAAATTTGTGGTGTTTAAAAAAAAACACTCTGTTTTCAAGGGAAAAGGAGGAAACTCGAGGTATTTAAAACTGACCCCAACCCCGTTCCCAAGGAAAGATGAGGGTGGCTGCTGGGACCAAGAGTGTCACCGTGGCCGTGTGTGACAAATGGCTCAGGTGCTCCGTGGGGACCAGCCTGGAGGGCATTATCCCAGAGAATGTCATGGTGCCCATGGAATTGGTGCCCATGGAATTGGTGCCCATGGAATTGGGTCTCCAGGGCATCCCTGAGGAGCCAGGCTGAGCCCAAATCATGGAATGGTTTGGGTGGGAAGGGGCCTTAAAGCTCATCCTGTGGGCAGGGACAGCTCCCACCAGCCCAGGCTGCTCCAAGCCCTGTCCAGCCTGGCCTTGGAAACTTCCAGAGATGGAAATCCACGGAATAACCTGGGCCAGGGAAGGATTGATCCCTAAAATCCCATCTAAAGCAGCCCAGGGAATCCTGGAATGGTTTGGGATGAAAAGGAACCTGAAACACCAAAAAATCCCACCCAGTTCCATGGGCAGGGTCCTTCCCCTATCCCAGGTGGTTCCAGCCTGGCCTTGGACACTCCCAGGGATGGAAATCCACGGAATAACCTGGGCCAGGCCCTCACAGGGAACAATTCCACCCCAAACCCAACCCAAATCCCCCCCCTGACCCCACTCCCCCTCATCTGGGCACTCATCCCTTGGGAAAATTCTCCCTCCATTTTTCCTGAAGCCCCTTCAGGTCCTGCCAGGCCACAGCGAGGTCCCCCCACAACTTCTCCTCTCTGCTCCCAGATCTCCCCGCCCGGGGGTCGCTGCTGCGGCAATTCGGGAATTGCGGGAAAAGCCGAGGCGGCGAGAGGGGCTCGGGGGGGATGGAGAGGGGCTGGCTGCGGGTTTTGGGGGATTCTCCTCACTTCTCTCACCTCGCACCGGCCAGCAGTGTCATGGTGGTCCCTCCTCTTATGCCACTCTTCTTCCACGTTCCTGGAAGCGACAAGAACCACAAACCCTCTGTGCGAAACTACGCCCGCTTTCAAAATTATAAAGGTTTAGTAAACTTGGACAAAAAACAGCAAGGGACTGAATAAGGGAAAAGCGCAGAGCCAAAGGAATGAATTACTCGCGTGCTCGGCTGGTTTTCTCCGGCATCCGCCTGCCCCGGACCCCAGCTCCGGCCCCGGCGGTGAATCTGGCTGGTCCGCGGCCACGCCTGAGATCCTTCCCTTCTGCACGCTCTATGAACCGCTCTCCCGTCTGATACAGCCCGTAAATGCTCCCCCTCTGGCGGTTCCGGACCGGCCTAGGTCCCGCCATTGGAGGGCCGAGACTCGGCGCGATGCCGTCCCCTCAGCGATAAGCCCTCCCCTCAGCGCCCTCCCCTCAGGCCCCGTCCCGCCCTCAGCTCGAATTCCTCGTAACCGCAGCTCCGGCTGCTCAGGTTAACCCTCTAGGAGCTCAGTTCAAAGGCAGCCCTCTCCAAATTCTTTCTCAAAACACGGGAGAAGGGCTATTGAATATAATAAAGAAAAAGAGTTAGATGAAGGGATCGGTCTATTGGTGCCGGGAGCGGGGGAGGGCCGAGGCAGGCGGCGCTGGGAGAGCGCCCCCAGGCGGTGCCCGAGGAGCGGCGTGGGGCTGCTGCGGAGGGGCCACGGCGAGCGGCGGGCTTGAAATGGAGATTTTTGGAGTTCACTTGAATTAGCATTATGAATTAAGCATTTAAAGCCTAGCCTGTAGAAGTATGTGTTGAATTTTAGCCTTTTAACTTAAGAAACCTCTGCCACGGTAAAAAGGGCATAGGAAAATGCAAAATTCTTAAATTTCTTGCATGAAGAACAATACCAGAGAAGACCAAGAGATATAAAAAGCCCGGATAAAGGATCTCCTCTGTCTCCAAGCTAACCAAGGCCGACAGACTACTCAGGTAAGCACCAAGGGACCGAAGTGCACGTGCAAAGGAGAAAAGTTCAAAAGTTCGGTCCTGAGGAAGACCACAATCTTCAGCGTCAGAGAGCACCAGAGACCCCCGTGCGGCCACCACAGCAAACAACGCCGTCCCAGAAGGGCGTGGACTGATTACCATGCAAGGCCAGGCGGGGCCAGGGGTTGAATATGCATGACAAAGTTATGCAACGTATTGCATATGGAAGACCTTTGTGAATAAAGATGAGGGACAGCCCGAGGTTCAGGCCACAAATTTTCACGAGACCTCTCCCGCTAGTGCCGGGCGCTGACACACATACCCACTTCATAACTATATCTGCTTGCGGAGTTTGTTTATTCCGTGTATCGCTTCATGCTCTATCAGCTGGGAGCTCGGTGGCTGCCGGGCCCGGCGGGGAGGAGCGGCACTGCCCGAGCGCCGGTACCGGGAGACCGAGCTGGAGCGGCGGCAGCACGGGGTGGACTGGGGAGCTGGGGCGCCCCGTGTCCCAGAACTGCGCTGGAGCGCCGGCAGGGCGGAAGATGGGCGGGGAGGAAGGGGAGCGGGGTTCCCATACGGTAACTTACACAAGTGGTGACAGCACCCCCATTGGCCTTTTCAGTACCGGGGCGAAGACGCAGCAGCGACGGACGCAGACGGGTCTTGGGTCATGACCGGCGCGGTGTCGGTGTCGGTGGCGGAGAGGGGACCGAGGGGCTGGAAGAAGGGGAACCTTGCAGGAGACCTTGAGGGAGAGGCCCGGTAATGGCGGCCTTGGCCGGAAAAGGCGCAGCTGGAGCTGGGGCCACACTCGGTGATCGGTTTGGGCGGGCCCGTAGGGGCGGAGCGGGAGCCGCGTTAACGGCTGAGATCTTCCGGAGGATCCCGGGGAGTTCCTGTACTCCCACCCGTCTTCCTCTCCGAAGTGCCTGTCCCAGCTCCGTGCCTCAGTTTCCCTCTCTAACCTGTTCTCTTTCTCTAGCCTGGCCTGGGATCCCCCATTCTCGTGTCCCACCCTGCACCCCCCGGTCCGAAGTGCCAAAGTTGCCCCCGTGTCCATCCCGGGGGTCCCAAAATTCATCCCGAGGGTCCTAAAATCCATCCTGGTGGGGTCCCAAAATCCATTCCAGGGGTCCTAAAATCCATTCCAGGGGTCCCAAAATCCATCCTGGGGGGTCCCAAAATCCATCCTGGGGGTCCCCAAATCCATCCCTGTCCCCTGCCCTGTCCCCCCCCCGCCCCCGGGGGCTCTTTGTATACAGAATTTTTCCCATTTTTGGGTCTTTTATTTAGCAAATGAAACTCCTTTTGTAGCAGATCTGGTCCCTGTCAGCCCCAAATCGGGGACAGGGACACCCAAATTTGTGTCCCCACGTCCTGGAGGATTTTGGGGGGAGGCCCACCTGGATTTGGGGTCCCCTCCCCTAATTTACCACCCCAGCAAATGATTCTTAATTAAAAATTTGTTACAAAAGGCCGAAGTTTTAATTTATTTTATTTTTAAGCCTTTCTCCAAAAATTGGGGGATCCTCACCCTCGCCCCCTCCCACACTTTGCCATCAGCCCCGAGCTCAAACCCGATGGAAAAGAGGGAAAAAATGGGGAAAATCCTTAAATTTGTGCAAAAAAACCCCATTTCCACCCACCCCCACCCCAAGCCAGAAATTGGGGTCCCAAAATCCTCAAATTGGGGCTGAAATTGTCCAAATTTGGACCAAACCCGGCAGATCAAAATCCCCAAAGTTGTGCCTGAAAGATGGAAATGAAATCCTGCAGATGGGGCTGGAAGGCCAAAAATGGGATTAAATTCAGCGATTTTGGGGCTGGATCCAGGAACTGGGCACTGGAATTCTGCAAATTGGGATCCGAATTCCAAACACAGAAATTGGGCCTAAAATCCTGGAAATTGGGACCAAACCCCACAATTCTGGACTGAAATTGGGCCTAAAATCTTTATTATTTTTTTTTCCTGACACCCAAACTCGGCTGAAATTCGGGAAATTTTACTGAAATCCCCAAATTTGGCCAGGAAATAAAAACCTGGGTGTGAAATCCTGAAAACTGGGAGCGGAACGCAAGGGTTTGGGCTGAAATGCTGGAATTTTGGGCTGACACGATGGAAGTTTGGGCTGAAATGCCAGAAATTTTACCAAGAGCGAACCCATTGGTTTGGGCAGAAATCCTGGATTTTCTTTTTTTTGCTGAAATGCTGGAATTTTGGGCTAAAATCATGGATTTTTTTTCTGAAATCCTGGAATTTTTGGGGCTGAAACCTTGGATTTTTTTGCTAAAATGCTGGAATTTTGGGCGAAAATCCCGGATTTTTGGGGCTGAAATGCTGGAATTTTTTTTTGCTAAAACACTGAGAATTTCAGGCTGAAATGCTGGAATTTCGGGCTAAAATCATGGATATTTTTTCTAAAATCCCGGAATTTTTGGGGCTGAAACGCTGGAATTTTTGGGCTGAAACAATGGATTTTTTTTGCTAAAATAGTGGAGTTTTGGGCTAAAATCCTGGATTTTTCTGCTGAAATCCTGGAGTACGTTTTCCGAAATGCTGGAAGTTTTTGGGGCTGAAACCCTGGATTTTTTTGCTAAAATGCTGGACTTTCGGGCTAAAATCCTGGATTCTTGGGGCTGAAATGCTGGAATTTTTTTTGCTAAAACACTGGAATTTCAGGCTAAAATGCTGGAATTTTGGGCTAAAATTCACAGATTTTGTTTCTGAAATCCTGGAATTTTTGAGGCTGAAATGCTGGGATTTCACGCTAAAATAATGAATTTTTTTTCTGAAATCCTGGAACTTTTGGGGCTGAAACCCTGGATTTTTTTTTGCTAAAATGCTGGAATTTCGGGCTAAAATCATGGATTTTTTTTTCTGGAATCCTGGATTTTTTTTTTTTTTTTTTGCTGAAATGCTGGAATTTCGGGCTGAAATGCTGCAATTTTGGGCCAAAATTCACAGATGTTTTTTTTCTGAAATCCTGGAATTTTTGGGGCTGAAATGCTGGAATTTCACGCTAAAATAATGGATTTTTTTGGCTGAAATGCTGGAATTTCAGGCTGAAATCCTGAATTCTTCTTCCTGTAATCCTGGAACTTTTGGGGCTGAAACCCTGGATTTTTTTGCTGAAATGCTGGAATTTTTGGGGCTGAAATGCTGGAATTTCGGGCTAAAATAATGGATTTTTTTGGCTGAAATGCTGCAATTTCAGGCTGAAATCACGGATTTTTTTCTGAAATTCTGGAACTTTTGGGGCTGAAACCCTGGATTTTTTTGCTGAAATCCTGGAATTTTTGGGGCTGAAATGCTGGAATTTCACACTAAAATAATGGATTTTTTTGGCTGAAATGCTGCAATTTCAGGCTGAAATCACGGATTTTTTCTGAAATTCTGGAACTTTTGGGGCTGAAACCCTGGATTTTTTTTGCTGAAATCCTGGAACTTTTGGGGCTGAAATGCTGGAATTTCGGGCTAAAATAATGGATTTTTTTGGCTGAAATGCTGGAATTTCAGGCTGAAATCACGGATTTTTTTCTGAAATTCTGGAACTTTTGGGGCTGAAACCCTGGATTTTTTTTTGCTGAAATGCTGCAATTTCGGGCTGAAATCCTGGATTTTTGTGCCGAAACGCTGCAATTTCCATCCAACCCCCTCCCCCCAAGTGTCACCCCCTCCCCAATCCCCCTCCCCGGGTTTTGGGGCGCAGGAAGAGGCGCAGGCGGGGTCGTTGGAGCCGTGTATTGTCGGGAAGCCAATCCAGAATAAAAACAGTGCAAATACAGGAACAGGGGTCCGGTGCCGCCCCGTGTGAAAGGCACAGAATCGGGGGGTGGAGCCCCCCGGCCCCCCCTCCTTGCACGGTTCATGTCACACACACGAGGGCACACGACACGGACGTGACACTTCCACAACACCAGGCGGGTCCTTCCCGGCGCTCCCGGGAGCCTTGGCCGCTTTTTCCGTCGTTTTTTATCGTCTTTTTTTCTCCTTTTTTTTTTTTTTTTTTGTTTTCTACACAATGTACAGGTTTGTTGGTTTTTTTTTTTTTTTTTTTTTCCTCGTCTTTTTTTTAGGTTTTTTTTTTTTTTTTTTAACCTTTTTTTGTCTTTTCTTTTTTGCCTTTTTTTTGCCTTTTTTTTTTTTTTTTAATGTGTCAAGAAACAGCTCAAGTTTTATATACACGGATGAGTCCTGGTTATATCGGCAGCGAGAGCGGAAGCAAACGGGGGCTGGGATCGGGGGAACTCGGGGCGGGAATTCGGGGGTGGGAAATGGGAAATGCCTTTGCAGGAACCAAAAAATAA